ACTGGCCTTGTCAGCTAATAATAACAATAACAGTAACAATGATAAATGTTATAGCACTTTTGCAAATAATTCACAGTGTTAGAACACAAATACAATATAAAAATCAACATAACAAAAGCGCCCCCCACAAACACACACACACACACACACACACACACACACACACACTGTAAATGAATTACTCACTTTAATGTATTTTTCTTGAGCTGGTAAAAATGGCTATATATTAATGTAGAAACAGAACAGGAGAACAGCTGTATAGCCTATATGTTCCAATATTATCTTTTTAACTCTGAACACAGACTCTCTCCTGAAATAGGCTATGTTTTCTTTTGCAATAAAGAAATTCGACGCAGCCGACACACCAGCATTAGCCTGAAATAAAGGAAACCCGAGGTCTGACCCGGCCCGAGTCATTTGCATATTTTTTCAGCCCGAACCCGGACCGAACCCGCGGGTCCAGTCGGGTTTGTCGGGCCGGCCCAACCCATCTGGGATGATAGGGCCATGTAGGCAGTGCTTGATAACCGCTCGTATCCCCCCCTTAATATGCTAAATATTAGATTGACCCAGTCTGATGTTCCACTCTGTCCCACTGCCACCTGAGGCTGCGAGGGCAGGCTGCTGCGGTCAACCGCGGCTGCGTTTTATGGGGTAAAAAAATGTTCCGACCACTGGCCGATTCGGCCTGGAACAGACCGGCTGTTCGGAAATACTCCCAACCTCCCTATGGCCAGCCCACCCCTGGCTATTAAGTAAACGGAGAAAACATGTCTCTCATTGTTTAATAGCAGCAAAACAGTAAGGCTTCATTCATCAAAGACAGAAACTCGATCTCTCTCCTTCTCTCCCTCTTTTTTCTCTGGCTCAGGTGTGTGGAATGGATCCTTCGTCTCTGGCTGGCTGCAGGAGCAAACCGTGTTTTCTTTACCGGCAGTGAGATCATAACTTTAAAAAATGTTTGAAAGAGAAGTAACCAAAGAAAATGTGTAATACTGAATATTTCGTTTGTTTACAAGGTATTTTGAATTTTGAAACCTGTTTTATTGACCTGTTTGTAATAAATTACTTTTTTGGGACTTTAAACATTTATCTCAACATTGCAAGTTATTGATAACTAGAGAGTCAAGACTCAAGCCAGCAGCAGCCACATGTAGAAAAGTGGATATACAGTGAATGTCTATACTTATGAGAAATGGCTTAACAACTAAACATTTCCTGCAATTAAACGGGTAAACTGGTTTATAAACAGTGTGATGTGAGATCTGCCGCTGTGCACCTCACAACCGTGCGTAATAGTCGCGCGTAATGACCGCTCCTCATTGGTTAAACTGCATGTCTTTCATGTTTGTCTCACTGACAGGTGGAGAGCCTACAGACAGGTACCCATTAGCTACGAGCCGCTCCGCCACTGACTGCTCTTGTCCTGTCCTCTCCCTCTTCTTTCTCTCCTGTCCTCTCTGACTATCACTAAACTCTGAGCTTAATCATTAGCTTTTAGCTTAGCAGCACTCGTAATTGAGTAGGCTTTTGAACAATGCAGGTGAAATGTTGCAGACAGTTTATATTATCAGCCTGTTGTAACAGTAAGTTAAACTGTGTCTGTGTGAGCATAGGATACATCTTACCCCGCAATGCGCGATGTGGGCAGCCGGGTCCAGCCTAGCCCTGCCCGTTGGAAAGAGTGTGGGATATACCACTACTAGGAAGGGGAGGGGGGGGGGGACTAAATCTTTTAAGATTTAAATAGCACATTATTGCGCGATTAAAATGTGCACCGCTTACATTGTGTTTTTAATAAATACTACTGCATTGTTCAAAAATTATTAATTGTCTCTCATATTATTCTAGGGGGGTACAGCTTTACTGGAGATGGGGTCATGTCCCCCCTGCCCCCCCGGGATTTCCGCCCCTGAATACATATTTTCACTGCATCCTTGGAAAATGGTATTGTTCCCTCTGATCTTAAACTGGCAAAGGTTATACCAATTTTTAAAACGGGTGATAAAGGTTCCTTTACAAATTACCCTCCTATTTCTGTTCTCCCATGCTTTTCAAAAATCCTGGAAAAGTTAGTGTATAACCATATCCTAAAACATTTGAACTTAAACAAAATTTTGTATCAGCACCAATATGGATTTTGCAAAAATCATTCAGCCTATATGGCCTTATTGCATCTAATTGACAACATCCATACTGCTCTGGAAAAGAGAGAGTTTGCATGTGGTATTTTCCTAGATCTCTCCAAAGCATTTGATGTTGTGATCATGAAATTCTCCTTGCAAAATTGTACAGATATGGATTTCATGGTACTGTATGGAAGTGGCTTAGTAATTTTGTTTGTAATAGAAAACAATATGTATTTATTAATGGTACAGAATCCACAAAAGCTAAGATACAGTGTGGGGTGCCACAAGGCTCTATCTTGGGACCCTTACTGTTTCTTATCTATATTAACGATCTTGCAGCAGTATCAAACACTTTATGTCCCATATTGTTTGCAGATGACACTAATTTACTTGTATCTAATAAAAATATATCTGTACTCATTAATGAAGTTAATATTGGCCTTTTAGAATACTCCAAATGGTTTAAGACTAATAAATTGGCACTAAATGTGAAGAAGTCTAATTTTATGATATTTGCAGGTGAAGAAGTATTATGAGCCGAAGTTATTGAAATTGTCTATTGATGGTGAGCGAATAACTGAAGTTACATCCACAAGATTTCTTGGGATCTTAATTGATGAAAAACTGTCATGGAAAGAACACATTAGTTTTGTTTGCAGTAAGATTAATAAATCTATTGGAATTATTAAGAAAATTAGAACTTTTGTACATTTATCTTGTCTTTTAACTTTATATTACAGCCTAATATATCCTTATCTCACTTATTGTAACATTGTATGGGCTAGTACCTGTCCCACATACCTTCACATAATACTACTGCTGCAAAAATGTTTTGTAAGAATAGCAACTTCTTCCAAGTCTTATGATGCATCCTCTCCACTGTTCTCGAAATGTAATATTTTGGTTATTAACAATATCAACACTTTTCAAATATGCACCTTTATCTACAAAGTGAAATTCATGGGTACAAAATTGCCAAATATCTTTCAAAAATATTTTATTTGTAATTCTCAAATCCATTCTTACACAACCAGACAAATTAATAACCTTTATTTACCTAAGTTTAATACATCTTGAGCACAGTACTCATTAAGATACAGGGGAGTACAATTGTGGAACATGTAACATTACTTATTATCTGCCTCTATGTCTTTATCAGTATATAAGACGAAACTAAAACCTGCTTTGATGACCAAAAGATTCTGTATCTGAATAACGTCTTCTATAGGGTGATATGTTTTTGCCTGCCTCAAGATGTAAAACGTCATTTTATATTTTTATTTTTATTATAATCAATTGTCCACTTTTGTTTATTGTTTGTTATCATGTATGTTTTGTTTTTCATTATTTTTTGCATAGTTTTGTTATGTTTGTCTAGGTAAGGATTCTTAACATAAGCCTGTAATGGGTTTCTACCTGACCTGCACATGCTATGTATGACTATATTACTTCTATGTTCTGTTTTCTTATTTCATATGTGCAAATAAATGAAATGAAATGAAGAGTTAGCATGTACTAACAGTTCAATCAGGAGAGACCAGGTGAATGAAATAAACATGATTAGTTATTACAGACTGTAGGTATACAGATTAACAGGTGATGTGATGAATATGAATTGATGAAAGTCTTAGGTGCTTGGACTCCAGAGGGAGATTTGCAATCAAGCGGCATCTGAGCAACAGCAAGAAGAATTCCCCATGGGGTCCAGACACTGGTGGTTGTGGTGACTGATGACTCTGAGACTGAAGGCTGATGAGGCTGATGAATCTGCAAAGACTCGGCAGTGATGGGGAGGTGGAGGGTGCACACAACTGCAGCATGACAGAGCTACGAGCAGAAAGAGAATCATATTTAATACAAGAAGCAGTAAGATGATTGTGAACCTCAGTACAATGATGGCTAAAAGTGAAGGCGTCGCCGTGCTTTTGGTTAACTGTTGATCAGCTGACAGAACAGCTAATGTCTCAAATAATAACCCCTGATAATGACAGAAAGAAATGAGTGAGCATGAGTGCAAGGAGTGAATGGCAGATGTTATGACAAATATTTAAAAGACCTAAGTAAGCAAAATTGTAGTCTTCCTGACTGAACTTTCGCTAGAGCTTCATTAGGAAAAAATGATTTTAAAACAATTAAAAATCAGTGGCGTTTCTCCAAGAACTGGCTCATATAGAAAACAATGAGCACAGGTGTTTTGACCTACATCACAGCTGACCATTATGCAGCGTAAACACGCTGCTTACTGCAGGACAAAGCATCAGCCATCAGTGCCATCTGTCCTCACCAAAAATCATCCCACTGTCTATAAAATGCCATTATGTGTTATATTTGTACCACATGCCTGTTGATGCTGCATTACTAGTTGATTGTGATGGTAAAAATAGAGCCAGTCTGATGTGATCTGTAGCATTTGTAGCATGGATTTGTTGTTTGGTTAACTGTTGTTTGTATTTTTGTATGTCTGTAATACAGAACACGACATGCTAATTTTGGTGGAAAAGGCATATTACAGTACCCTTAGAACCCCTAACCCCTTGATCTGTTTTGCATTTTCACTGCAGACAGTGCTATTAAGTGTAGGTGAAGTTTTTACTGGATGGTAACACCCACACGTCACTGCTTCATCCAGTTCTTGCTGTATTCCCTCTTCACAATGACGCAGAGGAACATCTGCACCTTGTTGATTGTCCACGGAATGGGGTTGCGTGACATTTTTAGAACAAAGAAGAGAGAGCTGTTGGCTCAACACATGAGGCAAACCATGTATTGTGAGTGTGAATAGGGCTCAATGGCAGTGTGGGGGATTAGCATGAGAATGGTGTGTGTGAGTGCTGGAAGGCCAGTACTTCATTTCTGTCACTGCAACTCATGCTCTCTCACCTCAGCCCTCCGCTCCTCAAAACACTCAGCTGTGGCTCAGCTCGACTCTCCACTCCTGTTGTTGCTGCTTTTTTCCAACGGTTTATAATCTTCCTCACCTCTCATCTTCTCCTGGCAGAAGCTGGTGTCCACATGGAGAATAACCACACCTTCCTGTACTTTGCATATGGCAGCAACCTGCTGAAGGAGCGGCTCCAGCTCAAGAATCCCTCTGCAACAGTATATTGTGTAGCCAGGCTCAAGGTATTGTCTGAGAACAGCATCAATATTTGGCCCCATATGAGCTGTTACACACTTAAAACTTTTTGTCTTTTTCAGGACTATAAATTGGTGTTTGGGAACCATAAAGGCCTTGCCAGTGACCGGTGGCATGGAGGTGTGGCCACCATAGAGCACAGCCCAGGGGATGAGGTGTGGGGTGTGGTGTGGAGGATGAGCATGTCTGATCTGGAGTCTTTAGACAGGTAAAATTTTCTTGTATCATTTTCTTTATTGGTACCTTCTGGATTTCCTTGAATGTTTTTCTGTGAAATTGACATTTACCATGTATGTGTGTTTTATATGCATGCATGTATGTGCACACTCAGTCAAGAGAATGTGACGTTAGGTGCGTACAGTCCTGTGGAGCTATCAGTGAAGACAAAAGGCCAGGAGCTCAACTGTCGTACCTACATAATGAACAGCTGTGTGTATGCCCCACCATCGCCACAGTACCTACAGGTAAGGCTGCTTTCATTGCGTCCATGCTTTTGGGCTCCGAGCACTTTTGTATAATGCTAGTGATTAGCCCTTTTGACACAGAGGTCACGCTGTAGGGCTGCTAGTCCCTCCTTTGCATTTTTACAAACAACCAAACGACAGCAGCATCATGCCACTCCAGTGTGTGATTTTAGACAGCATGCTGGTATACTGGAAGCAAAAGAGGCGTGACGGGCGTGAGATGTAACACAATAGCATCAGCCCCTAATGCGACATATAACATACGCATTGGCTGTGCTTTATAAACAGTAATAATGTCAAAACATGGAAATAACAACCATTTACTGTCCCTGTTATATTGCAGCTGATCTTATACTCTGTCCCCCCATTCTGCGATGGTACCCTCTATACAATATGGCGAGGTGGCATAACAGCATGATATTTCCACATTGAACAGGCAGTGTAAAAGGGGTTTCATTCCAAACATTTTAAAGGCTCAGGCTGATTTTTTTCTAAATTTTTAATTGTCGATAAATCCCATTAAATCCCAAACCAACAATGTGTTAGTATGTCTCTAAATACTTTCTGACTTTCCCACGTTGTCAGTGGCATTCGTGTCCCATGTCCATTGATTCCTAATTAAGATGTTTTTAAATATGACACACAAATATCATGTTTCATTTTGTTAAAACAGCTAGTCACTGTGGGTGTTGGCAAACCTGGCAAAAGTAAGAGGATAAAATAATGCATTTGCAAGAGACTATTTTCAATGGTGTAAGAAGAACAAAAATCCTTTACTTAAGTAAAAGTACCACCGTATCAAGGCAATGTAAAACATACATCATTACAAGTAAAAGTACTGTATTCACAATCCTACCAGTCAAAGTAAAAGTAGATAAGTATAATATGCAACGTAGCAAAAGTAAAAGCAGTAGTTCTGCAGTAAAATGTCTCCTGTGACAGACATGTTATTGTATATGATATTATTAACCCTTTGAGCCCTAGGCCTTTTTGGGGTATTTTTACTGCCTTTTTTTTTTTTTTTTTTTTTTCAAAGATATTTTTTGGGCCATTTTGCCTTTAATGGACAGGACAGGTAAGCGTGAAGGGGGGAGAGAGAGAGAGGATGACACACAGGCTGGATTTGAACCCGGGCCGCTGCGGCAACAGCCTTGTACATGAGGCGCCTGCTCTACCACTTAGCCACCGATGCCCCATTTACTGCCTTTACTTTTAAGCTCATATCACAGTCATTATAAAGGCTACATGCACATGCTATATCTTGTTTTTAGGGACCGAGCCTACAGGCAGAGGACTGCTCACAGAGCAGTCCTCGCCAAAGGCGAGGACCCTATTGTTTTTGGTGCGTTTATTATTATTAGGGACCGAGCCTAGAGGCAGAGGACTGCTCAAGGAGCAGTCCTTGCCAAAGGCGAGGACCCTCTTGTTTTTGCTGCATGCATTTATTAGTGACCGGGCCCAACAGCAGTGGACTACTCACAAAGCAGTCCTTGCCAAAGGCGAGGACCCTCCCTATAGTTTTTGTTGCGTTTATTCCTACAGACCAGTCCTCGCCTTTGGCGAGGACTGCTCTGTGAGCTGTCCTCTGCCTTCGGCGAGGACCCTATTGTTTTTGGTGTGTTTATTAGGGACCAAGCCCGAAGGAAGAGGACTGCTCACAGAGCAGTCCTCACCGAAGGCGAGGACCCTATTGTTTTTGGTGCGTTTATTAGGGACCGAGCCCTAAGGCAGAGGACTGCTCACAGAGCAGTCCTCACCGAAGGTGAGGACCCTATTGTTTTTGCTCCGTTTATTCTTTATTAGGGACCGAGCCCTAAGGCAGAGGACTGCTCACAGAGCAGTCCTCGCCGAAGACCCTCTTGTTTTTGCTGCGTGCGTTCATTAGTGACCGGGCCCAACAGCAGTGGACTATTCACGAAGCAGTCCTCGCCAAAGGCGAGGACCCTCCCTATAGTTTTTGCTGCGTTTCTTCCTACAGACCAGTCCTCGCCGAAGGACACTATTGTTTTCGCTCCGTTTATTCTTTATTATTATTATTATTATTATTATTAGGGACCGAGCCCTGAGGCAGAGGACTGCTCACAGAGCAGTCCTCGCCAAAGGCGAGGACTCTATTGTTTTTGCTGCGTTTATTATTATTATTCTTTATTCTTTCTCCCGCCCCCTTTTTGAACTGGAATTTGACCCCCTAAACATGCTCAAAAACTCACCAAAATTGGCACGCACATCAGAACCGCTGTAAAATTTTAGAAAATCATGACATTAACCCCTAAAGTGCCAAAATGGGCTCTCTAGCGCCACCTAGGCACACAAAAATGGCCGCCACGGCCTGTAGGAATGTCGTAGAAACATGAAACCAAAATTGTCGTGTTCATCTCATGAAGGCCTAAAAATCACGCGCTGACACCCCTGACCTAAATCCAACAGGAAGTGAGCTATTTGCCCTTTCAAAGTAAGATTTTGCCTTAAAACTGCCTTTCCTAAAAAATCTTCTTCTCATACACCGCTTATCCAATCGGCTTC